TGTACATATGCTATGTGGTATTTTCTACTGGTTAAATGTCTTAGTATCTCAAGCATTAATGAGTAAACTGCTTATAAACATTGAGAATCCGCCCCCCCATTGACCTCCTAGTGCTGACAATAACCAGATACAAGAGTAAACAGACCCAGCAAATCTTCATAACTATCTAATTAAATCACAAGGGACTTTTTGTCTCACTGGTGAAACCCAGTCAGGAACTAGGCAAATGGAAAGAACTATCCCAGGCACTTTCAGGGAATATGTTTAGTGCCTTCCTGCTAGGAGCAATTACTAACCAACCTGCATGAGAAGAATATAAAAGAGAGGGATGCCTTGTTGCTTGCGTTTCTCTTGCCAGAATTCCCTACATTGAAGGAAATAATACAAGTAGGAACTGAAGACACATTCTAAAGGGGTAAAAGATTAATATAAGTATTCTGATGTTGGCAAGTGGGAAGACTATAAAAAGAAAATTCCTGGACCAATGAACACACATTTATGAGATGCTTATTTCACTACAAAATCCTGTATAAATTCTGTGGGAGCACAAAAACTGTTCAATTATTTCAAAGGTATTTGTGGAATGTCTATGATGTGCCGGACACATAGTGTTATAAACAGAGAATAAATAAAGTAGAAATAGACAAAATTCCTGGCCTCAAGGAGACCACAGAGTCGGAAAGGAAGACGAGAAACCAACAAACAAAATGTACTGTGAAATGCTGTCACAGGAGAGACGGGCGTATAGAGTATACGACAGGGGCCCACACACAAAACCAACTGTAAAGATCAGAGGTTCCCAGAAATTTTTTTGAAAGAAATCCATGTGTATGGTTTCCTAGAGCTGCCATAACAAATTACCACAAAGTTGGTGGCTTAAAACAACAGAAATTTATTCTTTCACAGTTCTGGAGGCCAGAAGTCTAAAATCAAAGGGTTGGCAAGATCAAGCTCTATCTGAAGACTCTAGGGAAGAATTCTTCCTTGCCTTTTTCAGTTCCTGTTGGTTCCCATTCATCCCTCGCATTCCTTGCCTTATAGCTGATCAGGCCACCCTCTGCCTCCACTGTCACGTGAAATTTACCCCATTCTCCTCTGAGTCTCAGTGTCCTCTCCCTTTCTTATAAGGACACCAGTCCCTGGGTTAAAGCCTCACTCCAATCCAGCATGATGTCATCTTAACGAATCACATCTGCAAAGACCCTATTTCCAAATAAGGTTACATTCTGAATTTTGAGGGGATACTATTCAACTCATTAACCCAGGCAAGAAATGACACAGGCCTGATCTAAGGTAATAAAAAGAAAAGGAAAAAGTCCAAAACAATGCTTGGTTTTCTGCCTGGAGTAACATGTTTGTGCCCACCCTGAGATGAGGCAATCCAAGCAGAGGGAACTTTCCTTGGGGTATTGGTATTACTGAGTTCTTAAGAATAATGACTACTGTTTTTGAACATTTACCTACCATGATTTGTAAAACTTACAATAACCCTGTGAAAGTAGGTACAATTTTCAGGTTACACATAAGCACACTGAAGCTAGAAGGGTTAGGAAATTTCCCAGAATCATTCAATTTGGAAGAAGTGAAAGATGAAAAAGAAGGGATGGGTAGAAAATATGGAAGAGAGTCCACTGGAGTTGAAAGAGTTTTTATTTTCCTAGACCAGTATTTACACCAGGAAATGATCCTAGAGGAATTAAATCTAAGCACTGATAGGTAAGTTTCTTAAATTACTGTCTTTGGGAAAATCCATACATAGCCACCAACATGATTTATATGGAGAGATTCACAAAGGAAATTAGAGATTTCCTTCCCTCTGTACTTTTGTATGTGTGTCTCTCTTATTGAGGAATCAAATAATCTTGTCCATCAAATAAAATTTGTAAAAACTAAGTTGTCAAAATTCAGCCATCCCTAAACTTGGCTTTCATCTACCAAACCAAATGCTGTTTTGCCCTCCCTCCTCATCTCTTCACTGAGCTAACACCCATCCATCAATTCATAACCTCTGGGAAGCTCCTTCTGACCCTTGTTAAAGAAAATTCCTCAAAACACAGAAATAAGGCAAAAAATAATTATGTGACCTTGTAATGCCTTGCTAGACATGCTCCAATAAGCCCACTAGTGGGGCATCTCTTGGGGAATGTAACTACGTTTCACTTAATATCACAATTGATTGGGGCACTGACCTTTTACAACTCAGTACAGTTAGAACTTTAACTTCTAAAAAACATGATAAAGTGTGATTATTTTTTCTGTCTAGCAGAGAAAACAACCCCCCAAAACACAGTTTTGTAGCCTCATTGGACACTAATCAGCTTTGTTTCTAGTTTAGCAACCTTTATGAACATGCTTTTCCCTACTGATTTTTTTTAAAGATTTTATTTATTTATTTGACAGAAAGAGACATAACAAGAGAGGGAACACAAGCAAGGGGAGTGGGAGAGGGAGAAGCAGGCTCCCCTGCAGAGCAGGGAGTCTGATGCGGGGCTCCATCCCAGGACCCCAGGATCATGACCTGAGCCGAAGGCAGACACTTAACGACTGAGCCACCCAGGTGCCCCATCCCTACTGATTTTTAAATTCTATTTCTCATGTTCTTTTTCAACCAGTATTGTCATTCTGTTAGTTTACTCCTCAATAAGGCAAATAAAACTTTGACACATGCTCATTATCTTTTTCTATGAAAATTATGCAAATAATTTGAAAATGGTTAACATATCCTAGGTAACAATTGACAGTCCCTTCCACCTTACACCAACTACTTCTGTAGCAAGCACTAAGGTAATAGCTTGTTTGCCTTCTCTGCCAGACTAAGCAGTGACTTCTAGGAAATCAGTGAACATTTCTGTCTTACGTCCCATCATTATCTCCAGAACCCTGCAGAATGGTTGTCCCAGAGGATGAGTTCAACAAGTATTTCTGAAAGCATTTCTTAACTAAATGCCTTGGAACCCTTTCTCCCACTCTACTCCTTTGTCTGTCTTGATCTGAATCTCTTACATTCTCTTTTTTTAACTGGATAATGGCCCTCTTCACTACCTGCAGCCTCTTTGAAAAGTATCAACTTATTATCTAATTAAATGATAGGTTTTTCTCCCGGTTGCACACATACAACAGGGTTTAGGCCTGGAATTCACATCATCTGCCTAAGCATCAGTAACCCGCAGAAATAAATCTTAATGAAAGTCACTACTGCCACTTTGGAAAAAATATCGGTTTTTATTAAAGATAGAAATTGGTTATACAACTAGCATATTATAAGGAAAGTGCTGTTAAACAAACTCTAAAATACACAGCAACATGTAAAAACATCTGAAATACATAATGTCAAGCAGAAGATGCTATATCCATACTTATAAATCAATGTCTATCTGATCATGGAATGAGCATTTTTCTGATCCAGCTCTTTGTTTAAAGACTATTCTGGGGTGCCTGGTTGGCTCAGTTGGTTAAGCAACTGCCTTCGGCTCAGGTCATGATCCCAGAGTCCTGGGATCGAGTCCCACATCAGGCTCCCGGCTCAGCGGGGAGTCTGCTTCTCCCTCTGACCTTCTCCCCTCTCATGCTGTCTCTCTCTCTCTCTCAAATAAATAAATAAAATCTTAAAAAAAAAAAGTAGAAAAAAAGACTATTCTGTTGGCATTAAATTTGTGATAATAATGAAAGCCTTAGTAGGTATCAAATTAAACTTTGCCAGTCATCAATTTATTGACTCTGCTTTAAATTCATCCTATGTGCCTACTCTGAAAATGAATCTGGGACCCTTCAATATTTTTCCTCTGTAGCTGATAGGATGTTAAGTTTTCTCAGTAGAGGGCGCTGGAGAGACACTGCAAGAGGAAAGCCTTTTCCCACTTCAAATTGTTAATTGGCAGGCCATTAGGGATCCAGTTTTTCCGCAGAGGAAGCTTTTCCCGGTACCCAGCTTCTGCAGCATGGGCAGCTTCTCCAACATTAAGCGCATGCAGCATGAGCTCAGCCCCCAGCACACAAGGCCTTCCCAGCACTCAGGGCCCTTAAGAGCGTAATGGCCAGCTTCCCCCAGCAACTCCCGAGTACATTGTGTAATGGAATGTCTCTGGTAAGACACTTCCTCTAAACAGTTTCCTCCAGCAACCCAGGGGATGGATTTCCAGCAAGATCCCCTTGGCACAAAACTTCCAGCAAGTTCTCAGTCCTGGGATGGGGGGTGGAGGACTCTTCCAAGGGTGCTCTATCTAAACTGCTTCTTAGATCTGCTATTCCTATATTTTTTAGAGTTCTCTTTATTCCTTACTAGCCAATCCCTCATTATTCTAATCCCCTATTATAATTAACAATTATCGTAAACTCTCCCTATTCAAATTGCCATGTGCCTTCTCTCTCCTGATTGGACCCAGACTACAACAAACTCCTAGGAGCAAAATAAAAATGAAGCATCTTTTTAATTCAAAGACATCTTATTGGGTACTTGATAAAACAGCAGCTTGCCATGACAAAAAAAAAGTTTATTCAAACAACGAAATACCGTATTTTAAAAGATGGAAATATTTGGGATTTAGATGGCTAAGAAAAATGAAAGCATAGAGAGAGAGTTGTCTTGTGTTTCCTTTTAATATAAACAGTTCACATTATCATGATCACATTTACTTTGAGATGAGCAAGATGTATATATTTTATTATCCTAAGATAATACGCCCCAGGCACTTAAAACTATCCCAAAGTTAAATTCAGGGTAGTCATAGACAACCAAATAACTTACAAGCTCTTGTTTTCCCTTCTTCAGCAATGAATTTTTTTTTTTAAAGATTTTATTTATTTATTTGACAGAGAGAGACACAGCGAGAGAGGGAACACAAGCTGGGGGAGTGGGAGAGGGAAAAGCAGGCTTCCCGCAGAGCAGGGAGCCCGATGCGGGGCTCGATCCCAGGACCCTGGGATCATGACCTGAGCCGAAGGCAGACGCTTAACGACTGAGCCACCCAGGTGCCCCAGCAATGAATTTTCAAGTCCTTCCGTCATCTTTAAGGAAACACCCATGATTTTATTCCTCAAATGCTATTACTTTAACCATACAATTATAAAATAAGGGGGGAATAAAGAAAAAAGACACTATACTTTGTAATTCTTCATAATTCTAACAGAACCAACATTTTATGTATGTACTTAGGCTAAATAAGCAACAATAAAAATGTCCCATATGGTCCAGCAGCCTCGTACCAATCAGATTTAGTTAAGTAATGATTACCTGCTTCAGAAGTACTTTCAATCAAAGTACCTTCTCAAGAGAGTTTTGCCAGCATTTTGTAGTCAGATAGGCCGAGTTTAACCCCAGTCCCATTCCTTGCCCATTGGATAACTCCAGACAAAAGTTTTAACCTCTCCAAGTCCTAGGTTCTTCCCCTACAACATGAGGATAGTAATGCCTACACTGAAGGATGGTTGCGAGGATTAAATAAGATCATGTGTGTAAAGCCAGCATCAGACGCAGCATCGTCACTACTCAGGAAAAGCAACTGCCATTGTCATTATTACAGCTAAGATCTCATCGCCTGTCTAACCTTATTAATTTCATGACCTCTTTTTTAAACAAGTTTGTGTCAGAAGAAGATCCTATAATGTCAATGTGTGTGTCATAAAAACTAATCAGAACCTGAGGGAACCTTGAACTTAGTTGTTCACATGCCAACTTAATATTTCTTTTATTTTGGCTCTCCTTTCTTTTCAAAATAAGTGTCTCCTTTCTAAGCTCGAAGTGAAGAGCAAGTGAATATTCCTCAAAAAGTGCTTTTACAACCTTTGCATTGTTTGGCTGAGAACATTCTTGAGCATTTTTTATACAAATTGTGGTAATTGCACCATCCACTCTTTCCTCACAGAAAACATGACAGTTTTTCAGTGTGCTTTCATAAAATCTGCTCTTTTTGAGGTAAAGGAAAATATCTGTGTCAAGAACAAGTGTTTCTCCTCTCCTGGTGGCCTCAGGTACTGAGGACCCGAGTGACTCTAAGGAGTTACTTCTCTGGAGCTGCCTTCTGGAGTTCTGCTTATTCCATCTTTTCTCCTTATTGATAAAATTCCTGTTTTTCTCTAAAAGAGAACTTGCTTTTAATAGCAAAGATTCTTTGAGCTTCTGCATAGCCAGAAACGATCCTTGAATGGAGATTCTTCCATTGGGTTCCAAAGGACTGAAGCATAAAGTTGGGATATTCCTTTTCAGGTCCATTACCAGACTTTCTAGAGGGACTTGACTCCGAAAAACAGAAAGATCGAGGATAGCTTTTACAGAGCTGAAGACCTAAAATTAAACAGAGAGAAATTAAAACAGCACTGGCTAGTGGAGCAGACTACATAAACACATGCTTTTCCTGCCACGTTCTCTGTCTCCACAGCAGTTACCCCAAACCAAGCCCCAACTGCCCAGCACAGACTGGTTTCTTGCGCCATGGCAGCCCATCTGAGGGTCCCACAACCCCATAAAGACCACAGTGTTCAATTTGGGTTCACAGTCCCTCATTGCATATCCTAGAACAGAGATAGTCAAATATTTTTTATTTTTTTTTTAATTTTATTTATTTATTTGAGAGAGAGAATGAGGTAGAGAGAGAGCACGAGAGGGAAGAAGGTCAGAAGGAGAGGCAGACTCCCTGCTGAGCAGGGAGCCCGATGTGGGACTCGATCCCGGGACTCCAGGATCATGACCTGAGCCGAAGGCAGTCGCTTAACCAACTGAGCCACCCAGGCGCCCCATAGTCAAATATTTTTTGGAGACAGAATGTTATTTGAAATAAAGCCTTAAACAAAACCCATACATTGTTATGATGTACAGATAACACTCTGGTCTGGTTCTTCTCTGTGGCAGGGGTCCCCCTAGAGAGCCCTTCTAGTGAAGTTCATCAGAGGCTGCCCAGGATCCTGCGTTTCTTAGTGAATAGTTTTAAACCAATGAATTTTAACGCTTTCCTCTTATTTCTACTCCTGCCTCTCTGAAAGCTCCTTTTTAATGTTCATCTTAATTGGGTTTTTGTCCCCAAAAAGTCTTTAGGTAGATACCTGACATCCTCCATATGAGCATAAAAGCTCCTTGTCACTTTGAAAGCCTCAACACAGAAACATAAAATAGACCAGGCAATAAGCAAAAAATTTCAAGACACACATTTGGCATTTAACACTGACTCAGGTTAGCAAGTTTGCATTTTCTTTGGTAGGAACCATGAGGTGAGAGTGCTTTGGGTCTTCTATGTAGGGAACACACAGAAGAAACAGGATCCAGGGGGCGCCTGGGTGGCTCCATCAGTTAAGCGGCTGCCTTCAGCTCAGGTCATGATCCCAGGGTCCTGGGATGGAGCCCTGTGTCGGGCTCCCACTTTGGGCTCCCTGCTCAGTGGGGAGTCTGCTTGTCTCTCTGCCCCTCCCCTGCTTGTGCTCTCTCTCTCTTTCAAATAAATAAAAAAAAATCAAAAAGGAAGGAAGGAAGGAAGGAAGGAAACAGGATCCAGGACTGTCAGTATCACACCTTACCTTTTCACTGAAATGAGAGTCTGTGAACTGAGAGGGTCCAAACTTTTCTGCCTGACAGTGTTCCTGTTTTCTGTTGACATTCTCTGTACCTAAGTGGAAACACTGCCATCAGAAGTGGGATGACACACTAATAATTACTTTAATTTTTAATAACAGAAATCTTCAACTCTGTTATTTTGCACATCTGATTTTTTCTACATTTTCCTCTAAATGCAACATCTAGTTTTTCCTTCTACTTTAAAATTCATCTTATGTGTACATATGATCCTAATCATATTTTTTGAAAACACACAAGTGTGTATATGTGTGTATATATATATAGTATGTATATATAATGTGTATATATATATATATAACAAAAACCTAAGAGAAAATTCTCCCTTTGTTAATTATGGCCATGAGGAGACCACCTTCTTGAATCCAGGATACCACACTATCCTGGTTTTCCTCAAAATTCACTGTGCCCTTTGCTAATTCTCCTTCTCTTCCCATTCTCTAGATGTTGGCATGACTCAGGCCTCAGGCCTTGTACCTCTTAGCAAACATACACCCAGCCAAGGGTTGATCTCGATAATCCCACAGCTTTAGATACTATCTCTAGATGCATCACTTGCAAATTCTATCTTTGGCCTTGACTTTCCTTTGTTTTTGGAAATCTCTACTTCATTTTCCAAGTAAACATCTCAATGACCAAAATTTAACTCTTGATAACAATCCCCCCTCCCAAAAGTACTCTTCCTCCAGTGTTCCACATCTTAGAAAATGACACCGAATCCATCAGCAAATCCTGAATGGCCACCAGTTCTCAATCACCAGCCCTGTTAACACCCTAGCCAAAACCAGCAATGACTACGAGCTCCTGCTCTCCAAACCGCTGCCAGAGTGATCACCTAAGAGAAGGCAGTCACACTCTGTCAGTCACCTGCTCAAAACCCTCCTTCTCACCCAGAATAAAATCCAGACACCTTGCCTTGACCTATAGGCTGCTTAATATAAACCAGCCTCCAGCTACCCATCTGACCACATCTCCTTTTACTCTCCCCCTTGCTCGCTCTGCTCCAGCCATTAGGGCCACCTTGCTATCTTCAAAATGCCCAGCGTGCTACCCTCTCAGAGAAGTTTTCCCAGTCCTTCCCTTGCCCTAGAATGTTCTTCCCCCTTATCTGCACTTTCCCTTACCTCAGTCAGGTCTCTGCTCAAATGTCACCTAAAGAGAATATTTCCCCACCCACTCTATCTAATAAAGTAGCCCTCTCCATCACATTCTATCCCTTTATTCTGTTTTATGTTTTTTCATCACACTCACATTATATGTTAATATACACAAATAAATATATAAACATAAGTAAATATAAATATATAAATAATTTATGAATATACAAATTAATAAAACTCCCAATGCAATATATATTCATTTATTTGCTTTTTTATTATCTGTCCACCTGCACAGATGTATGCTTCAGGAAAGAAAACATTTTGCCTATTTCACTCACTGCTGTATCCAGAAGGCCTAGAATGGGGCCTGGCAAATAATAAGCACTCATAAATATTTGTGAACAAATGAATGAATGAGCCTTCTCTTTCTCTGAGTTACCAATTCAATGTTTGAAAAATTAACTTCCAAAAACACCTCAACCCCTGAGAGAAATAATAAGGAGCCATTCCTGCCATCCCTACCTGAACATCCCCATTGGGAAGGATTTGACTGAATTAATGGTGACAGATAAAGGCACTCTGATAATCCATAGTCTCTTAGGTCTCTCCCTAAATCCTATCTTCCCTCAAGCAAAACAAGATCTTTTCTTCTGCTCCAAGATGCTGGCATGGAAACTCATCTTTCTCTGGCAATTTATTTTGCCAGTCACTGAACTGTAGAGAAGGCTGCTCCTCTCCATGAGCCTGAAGGGATGAATTTGTTCTGCAGACCCGACGTCCTCGCCTATGTCCGGGGTGGAGGTGAGGAACAAAATGGCTCGATCTGATCTCAGATCCAAGCCATATTTCTCCAGTCCAACTTTACCAGTGATAAAGCCAATGCTATATTAAAATATCCTTTTGTTGCTTTGAACGGAGGGCAGCAAATGGTATGATTATATTGCTGAAGCCACTTGAAAATTCCCAAAGCAGTCATCTTGTTTGTGAGATTATAGATTATTTTTGTGGGGACTTTTTTCTGTATTTTACAAGTTTTCTCTTTTTTTAAGATTTTATTTATTGGGGCGTCTGAGTGGCTCAGTCATTAAGCATCTGCCTTCGGCTCAGGTCATGATCCCAGAGGGAACACAAGCAGGGGCGGGGGGGGCGGGGGGAAGCGGGAGAGGGAGAAGCAGTCTTCCTGAGAGCAGGGAGCCAGACACGGGACTCGATCCCAGGACTCTGGGATCATGACCTGAGCCGAAGGCAGACGCTTAATGACTAAGCCACCCAGGCACCCCACAAGTTTTCTACAATAAAATGTATCACATTTTTTCCCCAAGATCTAGACAGATTCCAAATATAAAAGGAAAGAAGTCTTCAAGAAATTTGGCAGTTACTACCAACTTTATCATGAACCATTTTCACATATATTCTCGTTAGGGCAATATTTTACCACTTTTATATTCAGAATAGAATAATATTTCCAAAAAGCTACTTTAAACTTTACCAATCCCATGAATCATTTTAATGAAATTCAGTTTTTAATTTCATTGCAGAAGTATTTCTAAGATTACAAAATTTGATTTGGAGATACCTTTTTTTCCTTTGAAGGTCACATTTTCAACTCCCCTGGTTCTTGTTGGATATATCACATTTTCAACAACTCTGCTTTCATTCTTAATATCCTGGAAGTGAGTCTTCACTACTGTGGTCAGTAATTGATCATTAAAAAGGCCAACTGAATGACCAGCAACTGCAGCTGTTCTTTCAGAAGTTTTGGATTCCTTGCCTTTCAAACCCGATGCCTGTAAGAGAAACAGGATGCTTTTTAAATATAAAAATAAGATTCAACTTATACAGGCACCATCACACACCAGTGGGGGAGAGGCTATTTTATTCAATAAAAGTGCTGGTACAGTTGATTAGATACTAGAAAAAAAAATTAAGGCTAGAGCCTTGCCTCACATCACATACCACATGAATTTGAGAGTTAAATATAAAAAGTGAACTCTTAATTTTTTTTTAAGATTTTTTTTTTTTTAAGATTTTATTTGTTTATTTGACAGAGAGAGAGACAGCGAGAGCAGGAACACAAGCAGGGGGAGTGGGAGAGGGAGAAGCAGGCTCCCCGCGGAGCAGGGAGCCCAATGCGGGGCTCAATCCCAGGACCCTGGGACCATGACCTGAGCTGAAGGCAGACGCTTAACGACTGAGCCACCCAGGCGCCCTCTTAATTTTTTTATAAATGGAAAGCATTGCTTAATATTTGTCTGATTTTAGAAAGGCCTAAAAGTAATGGCAGTCACAAAGGAAGAGATCAGAGATATAAAATTTTAAAAATTTAAGTTTAAAAACAAATCAAGCTAACCACAAAATATGATAGTTTGGAGACGGCTGTATGTTTTGTTGATTGTAGAGTCCCAAAATACATAAGCCAATAAGAAACATATCCCCTACTTTTTTTTGTCAGAATTAGAAAAAAAAAACACCATAAAAAATATAAAACCCTGGCAATAATACTGGGGCTGCAATGGAGTAAATCCTACCCTCCTGCACCTATTTGAGATGGAATTCAGCTACTGAGACCATTCGCTACTGCAGACCCTGCCACCATACTGAGCACAGAGTACTAACTACAAGTAGATCCTTCCCTGAGCTCACTCTCTTGAACTTCTTCTAATATCCAGGTAAGGGGCTTCTCTTTCAATGTTTTGATTTGTTCCCCAGCCCATTTAGGGAAGTGGACTCATAAGCTGCTCCCAGTGCTTAAATAGATAGTCCAACCTGATTATACCAAAACTCAGACTTAATCTATCCTAAATTACCCTCAGGGAGGACAGGGTATCTCATGAGCCCGAGTAAGGGTTAACAGATCACAAAGATGTTTTGGGCTCTCAGCTCAGAGGACTCTGTACTCAGAATAGGACTTCACTGGGGACAAGCAAGCTACGTTTGACCTTCCAGGTCAAGAAAACAGTCTAGGTACACAACATCCTGTTCATCCCAACGGCACCTTAAAATGAAAGTATAAGAGGGGCGCCTGGGTGGCTCAGTTGGTTTAAACCGCTGCCCTCAGCTCAGGCCATGATCCCAGGGTCCTGGGATCGAGCCCCACATCGGGCTCCCTGCTCATGCAGGAAGCCTGCTTCTCCCTCTGCCTGCCGCTCCCCCTGCTTGTGCTCGCTCTCTCTCTCTCTCTCTCTCTCTCTCTCTCGCGCGCGCGCGCGCTCCGTGTGTCAAATAAATAAATAAAATCTTTTAAAAAAATGAAAGTATAAGAATAAAAAAGGTTGAGGTCAAATTTTAATTAATGGTCAAATTTAATTAAAAATTCAAAAGAAGAGTTCACAACAACAGCAAAGGGACAGGGGATGAAAATGGCTCATGTTGAGACATACAAAACAAAGGGAGAAAAAAAGAAAAATATATATTAAAAAAATAAATAAAACAAAGGGAGTGTCTTCTGAAAATGAAACTTATAATAATCTATTATTTGTTACAGAAGATACTTTTAATGGAGGAAAACAGAGTTTCTTAAAATATTCACAACTAGACTGTGTAGAAAACAGTAAAAATATATGTGTTCCTCCACCCTAGTCCCAAATGGTATGATGTGATAATCCCAAAATAGTTCTTCCTAGGAGAGGAAAAGAAAAAGAGATTTTGCAGGAATTCTACTTCACAGACTTGTCTCCATACAACACTGGCTGTAATGGTCCACCCCAATCTCAATGGTTACATGGCTAGTCACTGAGCTTCCTTGTTGCCTTTCGTCAACGTCAAAGAAAAACTTTCAATCAATTTAAATTCAGAAAATGCTACTGCACCTCTGCCCTCATCAATTCTAATGCCATATTTCTTTATTCAAGTGTCTGCATTTAATTTATCTTTGAAATCAAAGGAATTCTCCCTGATGACTACTAATCTCTTCTATCCAGCATAAGGAAAAGAGATGTCTCAGAAATAACCCCTTCAAGAGTTACCACAGAGATACAGGATTTTGAAACAAGAGCAGCATTTTGGCCAGGAGTTATTATAATAGGTGATGGCATTTTCCCAGTATCAATGATATATTTTAAGACACTTTTGACCATAGTGTCAGAAAGCAAAAAGCTATAAAGAAAAACTGTGAGTTTGTAAGTAAGGCCCTAGAGAGAAATAATTAGATTCATTCCCTGTGTTTGTGTATATTTCTTTTTAAAAAATTTAGTTGTTTATTTTCATTGACGTTGCCTTTACTGCTGCCAATAAACAAAATCGTACTGGAACCTCACGACTGCTTTGGCATTACCGGGACCCTAGCAATTAAAGACCCTGCCACTGCTTTCAAGCGCTTGATGGAAAGAACACGGAAGGCTAAATCTTGAACTTGCTAACGGTTCTTGCTAGCCAGCACAGATGGTGAAAACACAGAGCCCTTTGTGCCTGGAGAAAGAACTAAGGTCACAAGAGAGAATTCCCACTAATGCAGACAAGACATGAGGATGCCTTCACAACTCGAATCCTTGGCTCGAATCCTTCTTGCTGGCGCTTTTCAAAAGGAAACAGTGGCCTCGGTTTCTGGGTAATTCTCTCCGCTCTTGTTCCCCAAGAAGTGGGAGGCGACAGTTAAGCCCAAACAGCCTGCGAAGGGACTCCTCGACGAGACAGCTGTGTCCCCGACCATGAGACACCGAGTGCGGGAGGTGGCAAGGCGTTCCCTGGAGTCGCTCACACGGCCTACTAGGAATTGCAGGCGCGCGCAGCACCGCCCGAGGAGCAGGTGCCAGAGAAGTGAGGGCCAGGTCTGCCGGCGGGTCGGCCTTCGCGGCAGGTGGCTCTCCGCCAGCGCCGGGCTCCATCGCGCGCCGCCCGGGGCAGCTCCGCACCCCCGCCCGCCCCGCTCCGCGCCCTTCTGGGGGACCGTGGTAACCGGGCGGGAACGACCCTGCCCCGCAAAATCCGAAACGAAAGCAACTTGCCATGGCGGAGGAGAGACGCGCCTTCGGCTGCCGGCAGGGCCCAAATTCACGGCGCGGGCCACGAGGCGGGGCCCGGCAGGAAGGTTTTGCTTTCAGTTTTTGGCCGCCGCCCGCTTGGAGACAATGAGCGGAAAGGACGGCCCCTCCACCCCATCCTGCTGCTCTGCGCCTCTTGGCCTCGCGGCGGAAGCTCCGACCTGGGCGGGCTGTTGCCTCGGTAGTTTCACAACTTCTGAAACCGCGCTGGAGGGGGCCCAGCAGGAATCCCCGGCAGTAATCCGGGGACTCTCCGGGGGCTGTGTCTGTCCCGTGCTCAGTGGAAATCTGGACCGTCCTTTCTGTGCCCTCAGCTCCCCAGTCGTGGGACTTCACACCACACCTGTTTCTCCTCTTCCTCACCTGCCTGCCCAGGGCCAGTCGCGCGGTGGCCAGGTGCACCGGGCACGGGTTGAAAAGCGCAGGGTCCCTGTCAACAGAGAGCTCACCATCTTGTCCACGCCCTTCAGACTCCAGAGTCTGGCACCTAGGGGAACACAAGTCATCTACCTACGTGGCTTCGAAGTCAAAGAGAGCATGAAAAAGAAAGGCAAATGGCTGCCAAACATGAAGAAGCTTGGCTCCACTCCTAAGTAAAGAAATACAAATTGAAATCATAATGAGATCCCTTTTTGCCACGATTAGGTTGGTAAAAATTAAAAAGTGTGGTAACAGCCAGTGTTAGCCAGAGTGTGAGGAAGCATCTGTTGCTGCAAGCCTAGATAGGTGCAAACATTTCTAAGGATTTTGACCCCTTTGAAAATGCAAAGTGAAAAAGAAGTGTGAAAATGCATAGACTTGGCAGTTCCACTTTCAGAACTCAAGTATAACTTACAGTGCACAAGTGGACTTGTAACTTAAAACTTCTAGTGCATAAGTGGAACAAAGATATTGTACACAAATTCCAACTTTGCATTGCTTTAATATGTGTAATTTATTTAAGTTTTTTCACTCAGTCCATGAATAGAGCTACTTATTATATGGCTGATGGCACATCTATAAGGCCTAAGACTATGACGATTTTAAAACAGTATGAGGTAAATCTACATGTAATTCCCCAACTCAGACTTTTCTTCAGATTCCTATATCTAAATGCCTGCTTGTATGTGTAATAAGCATGTGAAATTTAACAAGACCAAGCAAAACTCTCCTTCCACCCTTTCTTCCCTCTCAGTAAATAATAACACTACCCACCCAGGAGCCCAAGCTCATGACTCTCATGTCTTCCATGATTCCTCTTTTCCTTAGCTCTGTTAGTACATCCCATAAACACACACTCTTTCCAACCCCACCTTCGCCAGCCAGATCGTCCGCATTCAGCCTTGTTCCCCTTCAATTCATTCTGGATACCACACACTGAACAATTCCTATTTAATGTAAATCAGGTTTGTTCCCTGTTTAAACACTTTGTTGTTTTTAGGGGCTCCTGGGTGGCTCAGTTGTTAAGCATCTGCCTTCGGCTCAGGTCATGATCCCGGGGTCCTGGGATCGAGCCCAAATAGGGCTCCCTGCGCCACGGGAAGCCTGCCTCTCCCTCTCCCACTCCCCCTGCTTGGGTTCCCTCTGTCGCTCACTGTGTCTCTCTCTGTCAAATGAATAAATTAAAGCTTTAAAAAAAAAAAACCAAAAACACTTTGTTGTTTTTAATACTGTACATTTGTTTTTGTTTTTGTTTTACTAAGTTCCATTGCACTTTAAATAAAATTTACATTTCTCACCAGGAAACCAAAATGGCCTTGATCTGCTTTCTCTAGCTAGACCCCCATAAACTGTCCTCAATCCCTCTTTTCTGACCACACAACAAGCCATCTAACTCGTGTCTTTTCTTGCCCTTGGTTGTTGTTTGTTTTGGGGGGGTTGTTTGTTTTAATTTATTTGACAGAGAGAGAGCGCGCACAAGCAAGGGGGAGCGGCAGAGGCAGAGGGAGAAACAGGCTCCCCGCTGAGCAAGGAGTCCAATGCGGGACCTGATCCCAGGACCCCGGGATCATGACCTGAGCGGAAGACAGACGCTTAACCCACTGAGCCACCCAGGCGCCCCTTACCCTTGGTTCTTTGTCCAGGTCTGGATAGCTCCTCCCTGATCTTCACTTAACGACTCCTTGCTAGGACTGGAGTCTTAGCTCAAATGACCTCTCTTCAGGGGGACTGCTTCTGATTACCCCTTCCGAATTTGTCCCCCCAAGTTAATTGTTATCCTATCACCCTGTTATTCTGTCTTAATAGCATCACCCCTTTCTAAAAATATCTTCATATATTTATTTTTTTCTACTTGTCTCCCCCCACATAGTAGACATTAGTACTGCTAACCAATGTTGCTTGATCTTCTCAATTCAGGCACCTGGAGGGATTGCCCTTCCTCAGCCTTTGATTTAGGCAAAGCCATATCATTCATTCAGCCAACGAAAGTGAAGAGAACTGACATGTCTCGTATCTGGTGAAGGTACTTCATTGGCAGCACAAGAGTCTCCAATGTTCTCTTCTTGGCCTTGGTGCTCATGGAAGAATGCATTGAAGGAAATGTGCACCGCTGAGCCAATACGTGGAACACATTTGCACTAGAGAGTTGCCTGGACCCATAACAAAATATATGGGAATGAAAAATAAAGCTCTGGGTGCCTGGGTGGCTCAGATGGTTGGGCGTCTGCCTTCGGCTCAGGTCATGATCCCGGGGTCCTGGGATCGAGTCCCGCATCGGGCTCCCTGCTCCTTGGGAGCCTGCTTCTCCCTCTGCTTCCCTCTCTTTCTCTGTCTCTCATGAATAAATGAATAAAATCTTTAAAAAAAAAAAAAAAAAGAAAAGAAAAATAAAGCTCTGATGTTTTAAGCCACTGAATTTTCTTCAGCAATATCACCTAGCATACTAGAATAAAAGAACACCGTGAAAATATTTGCAAATGACACATCTAATAAAAGATTTGTATCTACATTATACAAAGAACTATTACAACACAAAAAATAAGAAGACAATCCAACTTAAAAATGGACAAAAAATTGCAGAGACTTTTTTCAAAGAAGACACATGAATGGATAATATGCTCATGAAAATATACTCAGCATCATTAGTCATTAAAGAGATGCAAATTAAAACCACAATGACATACCACTCCACACTGACTAAAATGGCTATGATCAAAAAGATAATAACATGTTGTCAAGAATGTGGAGAAAGGAGAACTTTCATACATTGCTGGTGAGAAAGTAAAATGTTACAGCCATCTTTTAAAACAGTTTAGCAGTTTCTCAAAAAGTTAAGCATAAATTTACCACATGACCAGGAAATTTCACTCCTAGATAACTACCCAAGAGAAATGAAAACATATGTCCAAACTAAGACTGCCAGTGTTCATAACAACATTATATATAATAGCCAAGAAGTAGAAATAACCCAAATGACCATCAATTGCTCAAAGTATAAACAAAATGCAGTATATACCTACAATGTAATACTACTCAGTAATAAAAAGGAATGAAATACTAATACATGATACAAAGATGAAGCTCAAAAACATCGAGCAAAGCGAAAAAAACAGATACAAAAGGTCATGTGTTGTATACTTCTGTTTAACCAGAAAAGACAAACATATGAAGAGAGAAAGCAGAAAAGAGGTGCCTTGGGCTGGAGGTGGGAACAAAATTAACTGTAAATGGACATGAGCACCATGATCCAAGCTGGGACCCTCTCCAGGCAATAACGAGAGGTGTAGGATTAGAGTCAGGATTAGAGTCAGGAGGGCAGGTCTACCCATGTGTGCCACGGAACCTGACTTAGAATGACCCTTAACCTGGTATGCCCCAACTATTCCAGCTTGTACGTGCTGACAGGGCACAGGACAATGCTACCCCCAAAATATGGCCATTTGGCATACTGTATATTTCAAACTGGGGGAATAAGAGAAAGGACATGTGCAAGAAGGACTTTCTGACATTCCCCTGAAGCAGGTCATAAAACCGTCCTGTGTTTTATGTAATCCTCATTCCTCCCTTTCTTCTGTATCCAGAAGATACGGAAGGAAGAGCCTTACGTCCAAAGACACAAGGACACAAAAAAGAATCTGAATGAATAGGTCTTGCTGTTTCCTTTCGTTTATTACACTTAGCTAACACTCTTTGTCCTATCATCTCCAACTTTTTATGACTTTATACGTTTCATCAACTTTAGCATAGAAACCCTCAGGTTTGAGTATTTCTTTGGGTCTTTATGTCCTTATGCAGGCTCCCATATCACATAAAATTTAAGTAAATAAATTTCTGTGCTTTTCTCCTGTTAATTTGGTTGTATCAGTTTAATCTTCAGGCCCAGCCAGGGACTGACTCTAAGAGGGTTAAGGAAACTTTTTTCTTCCCCTAGTGTGCCAAACAATCCTTGAGGAAGCATGACTCCAAATGTGGTCAAAATAATTCTAGCAGCTTATTACTGAAACTGCATCCAAAAAAATATTTTAATCTCTTACAGCCCCAGTTATGAGGACTCCCATCTCACTGTACTTTGCTCTGAATCATAGCTTAAGTAAAATCAAATTGACATTTTCCTGGGTGTTTATAATTTGTGATACCAAAAAACCAAAAATAAAACCCATTATTGGATATTTCACCTGTATTTTGTTAATTGTTTAATTTCATAAGATGTGGCATATATTGTGAAGATTTCTAAAAATAGCACGAGAAGAAAATAATTTTTAAAGGAGTAGTTCTCAATGCTGAAAGGGAACAATGAAATAGTCCTTATTGTACTTACAATAAAAGTACTGAGGGGTGCCTGGGTGACTCAGTCATTAAGCGTCTGCCTTCGGCTCCGGTCATGATCCCAGAGTCCTGGGATTGAGGCCCGCATCAGGCTCTCTGCTCAGCGGGAAGCCTGCTTCTCCCTCTCCCACTCCCCCTGCTTGTGTTCCTTCTCTCACTGTCTCTCTCTCTGTCAAGTGAATAAATAAAATCTTAAAAAAAAAAAAGTACACACTGATGCCTACCTTTCAGGAAAGCAACTGTAGCCATACGTATCAAGATCCTTAAAAAGAATTTGTATTCTTCACCCTATCAACCTAGTAATTATCACCTTGAAATAAGATTAAACTTGCAGAAAAAGATTTGTATTCCAGGATATAAACGGTTTATGTACATCATAGCACTTATAAATGTGAAAAATTGGAAACAATCTTGATGTCCTACAATAGAGAAATAATAACCCTAGAAATAGGTTATATTCACAAAATGGAATGTGATATATGATTGGGGAAAAAAATTGGAAAGGAGGACTTAAAAATGTTACCACTATCTGGGTGTGGATTTTTTTAAAAAGATTTTATTTATTTATTTGACAGAGAGAGCACAAGTAGGCAGAGTGGTAGATCGAGGGAGAGGGAGAAGCAGCCTTCCCCCTGAACAGAGAGCCCGATTCGGGACTCGATCCCAGGACTCTGGGATCATGATCTGACCTGAAGGCAGACGCTTAACTGACTGAGCCACCCAGGTGCCCCTGGGTGTGGATTTTTGATGATTATTATCTTCATTATAGTTTGTGTATCTTTCAAGAATGAGCATCTTTTTTTTCAATACCAACCAGATATCATTAATGCTATTCATTGTATAGTTTTGGCTTCCTGCCTTCCAAGCATGTGGTAGGATTGAACATCCAAGCTCCTTTATGGTTGGGTGGGGCCACATACTTAGTTCTGGTTGAGTTGTGAATGAAAAGGGCATTTCTGGGCCAAGAATTTAATTGCTATTTCAAGACACTTCAAAGCTCTTTTCCTCTGGCATGATATCCAGCAATAAAGTTCATGGTTGCTGGGGCGTTTAGGTGGTGCAGTCAGTTAAGCCTCTGACTCTAGATTTCCACTCAGGTGGATCTCATGGTCTTGAGATGGAGTCCTGCATCAGGCTCTTGCTGAGTGGGGAGTCTACTTGGGATTCTCTCTCCCTCTGCCCCTCCCACTCATGCTGTCTCTCTCTCTCTGAAATAAATAAATCTTCAAAAAAAAAAAAGTGGGGCGCCTGGGTGGCTCAGTCGTTAAGCGTCTGCCTTCGGCTCAGGTCATGGTCCCAGGGTCTTGGGATCGAGCTCTGTGTTGGGCTCCCTGCTCAGCGGGAAGCCTGCTTCTCCCTCTCCCACTCCCCCTGCTTGTGTTCCCTCTCTCGCTGTGTCTCTCTCTGTCAAATAAATAAATAAAATCTTTAAAAAAAAAAGTTTGTGGTTGCTGTTAGTCTGGGTCCCTCTGAGTGTCTACCCCGAGCATTCTTTTTGTTGACCCATCATGGACATGTAGCATGACCAAGGAGTAAAATTTTGTTGTTTTGGTCTCCGAAATTGAGATAATTTGCCACACCGGCATCATATAATCTATCCTGATTGATACAGAACTGGTATTCTGGAGCATTGCTATAGTCAAAAGAAAAAAAAAAAAGACAATCCCCAACACAATCTAAAATACATGGCTTTGGTTTAGGGGCAGGTCATTAGAAAATAATTATCAGAGATTAGAAGGATGGTGATCCATATTATCAGTGAAAAAACATTTGGTAAAACTGTCACATGTAATAGCTTGGAAGGCAGATAATGTACCTAATTAGCTTGTAGCTTTTTTAAAAAAGGGTGTGAAAAACAAAATTAGTAGCATATGTCTGTTACTGTTGAGTGCATCTGACAAAGTAATATAAAAAACGAATGAGCTTAGAAAAGAATCGGCCAGTTGGAAAGCCAAAATGAAAGGGAATAGAGAAATACAGAAATATGGGAATTTATAGGATGGAAGAAACAATACTTCTCATTCTCAAATGACAAAACCTTTGAGTAACAAAGGCTGATTAGAACTCTGCTTTATTGAAAGGATCAAATCAATAATCAAATCAAGCTTTGGATCTCTGAACAGATTAAGGTCCCTCAGAACAACAACAACAACAAAAACCAATAATTCAAAACAGAATCCAATAAACCCTTTCAGTTAGACAAACTGGCTCAGGGAAAAGAAAATAAAAGTGGTCTGATAGACTAAAGTACCTACAGTTAAGAGAGGGAGAGAATAGGACCAAGAAAGCAGAGAATTATAACAACTCTAAAAAGGGAGTCTAGAAAAAACTGTCGATCTGGCTATTAGCACATGTAAACTGACCAAAATAAAATAGATGAGAAGCCTATTAAGTTTTTGAAGTGTAACAGCTAACTAGCTACCAGCCAGAGTAAAGAGACTGTGATGGTTCAAAACTTTAAAAATTTTGGTACCAAACATTGATCATAGATAGTGTGCTGAATGAATAAGGTTTGCAGCCTCCAAAAAGATATATTCTAGATATGGAAAAGGAGAATAATAAAAAAAAGAAGAATGCCCAGGAGCTATACAGACAATGAGCAAGAGAAGAATTTCCAGAGTGGAATCATGGCTTACCCAAAATTCCACACTCGGGGGGTATGAAGCATGTATCTACTCAGCGAGATTTCAGAATGATTTTGGCCCAGACTACATGTCCCCCATTCATCCCCTTTTCCAAATTCGAGAGTTTATTGCAGTTCTCTTGTTCCAGTTCCACTACTATCTACCATGGGGTGGGGGCTCTGGATAAAGGGGAGTAACATTCAGACTTGATATAGAAACTACCACATACCACCTAGAGTTCACGCACTTTGAGTTGGATACCACGACTTAATGGAACTTTTGGTTTTTCCACCCTAGGGTATGGGTGAGTGTGTGTTTCGTGTATGAAGAAGAGCGATCCAAATATTGAAGATCATAGTACAGGAAAGACTACATTCATTAATATTCTGGCTCAACTGTATCTGGTTCTCCTCATTTTTACAAGACCGAATTTTCCAATCCCTTTTTGTTTCAATGAGGTCAGATGGCTATTTCTGGCCAATGAGATGTGAGACAAAAGACATCGTTACTTCTAAATTACAGCATTTAATTCCTGGTGCAAGACTCTGCAGACTTCGTTTTTCTACACCTCCATGTTTCTGGAAGTGTGTCTCAAGATGGGGTCTTAAGTGATTAGGACAAAAAGACTCCCCTCCCAACCTGTGTTGGACATTCAACATGAATGAGAATTAAACTTTTGTTTTGTTAGGCCCCTGAGATTCAGGAGGTTGTCATTACAGCAGAGCCTAGGCTATCTTGACTGATAAGTCCACAAAAGGCAAGAGGGACTTGTGATTCTACAAATTCATCTTTCCTGACTTATAGGCTGACTGTCTAGGCTTTCGAACTTAATATGCAATAGTCAACACAGTATCTTCTGGTAAATTTTCAAAGGCAACTTTGCTCCTACAAAATCTCTAAAACTCTAGAAATAAGCAGGGTAGCCAGTGCTTGATTTCTGAGACCTTGCCAGATCACACAAGGGCGGAATGGTGAAAGGAGCCCGAGGGAAAAGTCTCACTTTCTACAATAAGTAGTATTTATATAAAGAAAACAACCATTGTATATATTTAGAATTGAATGAGATAAACTATTTTATGGCCTGAAGAAGGCCCCCAAAGGAAACAAAAGTGACTATTTCAAACCTTGTCCTAAATGTTAGGAAAAAAATTCTTCCTGATTGGCAGTCTGCCACCGACTAAAAAATGATACCTTCTGTGTCAGTGAAGCCGTACCAATCAAAATTAATTAGGTTCTTTAAATTTTTCTTAATATTTTGAGGGGCTTGAAATAATCTTGCCATTCCCAAAGAACAACTGACATATGATGTTTTTCCTAAAACAGTGAAAATGTAGAGTTATTATACATTGCCCAGTTTTTAGGCACCATCTCTCATTCTAAAGAGAAATGTGAATGCAATGAGTACTTCTAACGGTAGCATAAAAACTTTAAAATCTAAAAATAAATAATCAGAAGCGAGCCAATTTTTTTTTTTAACTTTCCCTTTACTTTAGATGGCAGGCAGCATGGGGTAGGTTTAGGTTTAGAATCTTTTCTAAAGCATTTCATTTCTGCTAGCATTTTAATATGAATTTACTTCTGCTGTTGACTCTTTATGGAACACACTGTATAGGATAAAAGCTGTTCCAACGTTCCTTTTTTTTTAAGATTTTATTTATTTATTTGACAGAGAGAGAGAGACAGCGAGAGAGGGAACACAAGCAGGGGGAGTGGGAGAGGGAGAGGCAGGCCTCCCGCAGAGCGGGGAGCCCGATGCGGGACTTGATCCCACAACCCTGGGATCATGACCTGACCCAAAGGCAGACGCTTAACGACTGAGCCACCCAGGCACCCCTGTTCCAACATTCTTTACCAAAGAGAATTTTACCTCCTCTGAACAGGAACCTCACCTCTCACTGTTTTTAGTTTCTACAACTTAAAACCAGTGGGATGCTAATGAACTGGGCGTCTCTCAAACTAAAATGTAAGCCCATACAGGGGAGCTCCTCTGTTTTCATCTTCAGGGGTTCCTCAGCATCTAGCCTGATGAGTGATGAGCCACTAGCTTTGCATTTACCTTTATTCCAAGGATGTCATTCTGTTAAACATTCTTTCCATCTTAAGTGTAAAAGAGAAAATTATGGTCTTTACAAGTTCTATTTGGAGAAGATGTTTTGGAAAGAATCGGGACACTGGGCACTCTGGGCGAAGAAAATTTCAAGTAAAAAGACCACACTCAGCTCTGAAAAATACCTCTGGGGCTGTGGAGGAAAATGCTATATAATGGGAAAGTGGGAAATGCTTGCTCTTGAAGTCCCTCGAAAGTCAAGTCTACAGAAATCACAAACAGCTGAATGTAACATTTCTTTTGGGAAATGTCAGGAGTCAAGTCTGCATATTGGTGGACTTGGGGCCAAAAGAGAATTGGCCCACATGCTCATGACCAAAGGAGCCAACACAGCAGGGGGACAATTGCATCACTTATGGCTGATTTCAATGGACATGGCACCAAGCCACATAATTTATGAACAAATAAAACTGTTTCTAATGCAGTGCACTTACTGCATTTATAAGCATGCAGCAGAGTTTGAAACAAAGAACAATTCAAAAACAAGGAAATGTATTTTGTATCTAAGAATAAGTGGCCACTAAAGAATTAAAGTCTTCATTCTTTTTTTTTTAAAGATTTTATTTATTTATTTGAGAGAAAGAATGAGAGAGAGAGAGAGAGAGCACATGCGAGGGGGAAGGGTCAGAGGGAGAAGCAGACTCCCCGCTGAGCAGGGAGCCCGATGCAGGACTCGATCCCGGGACTCCAGGATCATGACCTGAGCCGAAGGCAGTGGCTTAACCAATTGAGCCACCCAGGCGCCCTGAAGTCTTCATTCTTTAAAGGAAAAGGGATATTCATTTTTGTCAAACTGACAGTGATTTGGGCTCAGAGGCTCTAATATTCAGACCATTCCATTCCTCTCTTCTTCAAAGTACGTGATGTAAGGTTGACCTAGAGAACATTTGACCACTTCCACCTCTCCACCTCCGTTCGTCTTCCGTTGAAAGTGAATGTTAACTAAATCCTGTAAAAGTTCTTCATCCATCATCTGAAGATCTTCCATTCCAGTCAGAAGCACCGTCCTCTCCGATATTCCTGAAAATACCTAAAAAGGAAAATTAAAAAGATAAATAGAAAGTTTTCTAAGAGCTTTGAATTACAAAACTTTAGACTTACAAAGCTCTGCTTCATATCTTGGACCTTATCTTAGAAGACACCAGGAGCCTCAGCAAGATGTTTCACGCAAGAGAAAATCCGAGTCAGATCTGAATTTCAGAAAGATAACTCTGGTGGCATTATGATGAATAGCGGAAAGACAGGCATCTCTATGGACAGAAAGACCAGTGAGACAGGTAGCCAGAGGGGCCAGTGACAAGACTGAGTGACCAGATGAATGTGGGAGGTGAAGCAAAATGAAGAATTCAGCATGAGTTGTAGCTTTCAGGATGGTGAACTAGGTAGATGGGGGTGCCACTTAATACCTAGGTAGGAACAGAAAAAAGGAATAGGTCTGGGGTCAAGATAATGAGTTCAGAGAAAATGAGCGGGAAGAATTGTTTTTAATGCCCAAGGATAGTAGACACACAAGAGAAATGTAGCTATGTCTCCACATATAAAAATATCATACCATTACCTGAGTAGTTTCAGGTTTTACAAAGTATGTAAGAAATTAAATAAGGTACAGTTTTGCATTAAAGTATTTTTTTAAAAGACAAACTTATTTTGCACCAAGCAGATATGAAGAAACTATTTTTTGAGATTGCTCACTAATAAGATTCAACAGGAACAGACTCACAACTTTTTCTTAATTTCTTGTGGGGTGGGTTGAGCTGTAAGTTCCCAAAATGAAGGAAAAGAGATGACTTTACCTGAAAATTTTTCAAGTGTGTTTCTGTGTATGGAGAAACAGTAACTCTATAGCAGTTTTGATTTATATAAAGCGGATAGTCTTTCTTTTTCAAAATCTTGTCAGCAACTAGAAGTAAATTTTTTAAAAATTATTTTCTTTTTTATATCATAGACATTTTCAACCAAAGTTAAAACTTTCTTCAAACAGAACATCACAGTAAACAGTGAACTGAGTGTTTTTAAAAATTCTACAATCCACTTCACAGTACATAATTTTGAAAAATACAAGACCCAACAATAATGAGGTTTAATAGATCCTTCTGTCTTGAACTATCCACTACAATCAGTGCAGACAGCTGTGATGTCCTCAGATCTATCTTGAGCTACACAAAATGCAAAATAACCATCTGCAAAAAGTAACCTGCCCCCCATCATCCTAACAAGACTGCGAGTTTCCCAGTTGCTAAAGAAGTATAACTGAAAATTATGATTAGAATACTATACCTATAGGGGCACCTGGGTGGTTTAATCAGTTAAGTGTCTGCCTTCAGCTCAGGTCATGATCCCAGGGTCCTGGGATCAAGCCCCGCATCGGGCTCCCTGCTCCGCGGGAAGCCTGCTTCTCCCTCTCCCACTCCCCCTGCTTGTGTTCCCTCTCTCCCTGTGTTTCTCTCTGTCAAATAAATAAAAGCTTTAAAAAATCAATCAATCAATCAATCAATCAATCAATCTTTAAAAGAAAAAGGGCACCTGAGTGGCTCAGACGTTGAGTGTCTGCCTTCGGCCCAGGTTATGATCCTAGGGTCCTGGGAAGGAGCCCCGCGTCAGGCTCCCTGCTCATGGGAAGCCTGCTTCTCCCTCTCCTGCCCCCCCCTCCGCTTGTGCACTCTCTTGCTCTCTCTCTGTCAAATAAATAAATAAAAATCTACAAAAAAAGAAAAAAAGAAAAGAAATGGCAGAACATAATTTAAATGGTGAAGTATTTTTTAACTACCTAAATGGGCAAATACCTCCAGTTTCCACAAATGTGATCATGGCACTCCGTGACTGCTTATCATACTGCACGCATTGCACTTCCCCGCCTCCGTTTATGGACTTAGAAAAGCTCAGTTCTAGCTTGTCTCTCATCTGATCTTCCGGCAATCCGTCAGGAATGTCAGTAACATTGATCTTCACTGTAGAGTATTCTTCATGAACCTGGGAAATCATTTCATATTCAACAATAGGGGTGAGAAAAGTGACACCTAACAGAATTCTAAAAAGCTATAATCAGCATGTTACCTGGAATCTGACTCCTGAATTTAATGGAACGGGCTTGGCCAAAACCTCCACATCTACATCCTTTATCTTCACATAATGCTTCCCCATCCTGATGATGTTTTGGGCAACTGAAAAACAATTTGGGAGTATTAATTGCCAATATTTTGATAAATGTTTTCACTTTGGGTTTAAGAACAAATTATCCTAAATATTTTAAATTTTCTTTAATAAAGGATCTAATTTTTAAAAATTTCCTAGGACTTCCAAGTGTTATTGGTCTTGCCACCAAAGTGGCAAATAAATACATTAATGTCAAAAATGTCAAAATACATCAGCAAAAATTACCAAGTAGCCAAAAGATACAAACTTCCAGTTATAAGATATGTAAGTACCAGGATTGTAATGTACAACATCCTGCTGTGTGATATACAGGAAAGTTGTTAAGAGGTGTAGGATCCTAAGCATTCTCATTACAGCAAAAAAAAAAAGCTTTTCCTTTTTTTTTTTTCCTTTTTTTGAATCTATGGGAGTTCTGTTTATTGTACCCATGTGAGAAGATGGATGTTGGCTCTACCTGCTGTGGTTACTGTTGCACAATATACGTAATCAAACCATCATGCCATACACCTTAAACTTAGTGACATTCGTCAATTATTTCTCAGTAAAACTGGAAAAAAAACTATAATGTAGAAAGTCTCATCAAGTTCTAGATTCATCTCTTAAGAGATAAGCCTGGTGATCCTTCAGAAATTCATATATTACTTCAGCACAGCCACACACCCTTTAGAATTCCCCTGTTAACAGAATGATGAGAGAATTCCCTTAGTATATTAACTGAAGCACAGCCAGAAACTTCTTCCATGTTGAGTAAGTAGGAAAAAGTTGTGTGGGTCAGTGGCATTCTGACAATCTTATTTATCATTTGTCACTTCTCTTTAATGTTATAAACACCAAAGAAATAAATATTCATTTTTGTCTTTCCTAAGAATGATATAGTAAAGACCACATAGGTTTGAATATCAAAGTGTGAGTCTTTTTTTTTTGCTGTATTTAATGAGGAATTCTACTTTTGCTAAAATGCTTTTGAGATCACTTTATTAGAAAGATGATAGCCTATGCCAATCACAAAACTACCAAATCTAATTTATTTGTGCAAATGGGAGAGGCTCAGTAATGTCATTATGCCAAAAATCATTAAAACTCCAGATAGCAATTATATTTCAGTTTAAAATGCATGTGGGTGTGCATTTATTTTTAATTGTGTGACATGAGAGGTTATAACACTTCAGTTGTTAATACAGAGCCGCTTGCTCTAATTTGTCATAAAGATAAGAGATGCCCACTCTGGTCGTATAAATCTCACATGTTTATGACAACCAGACAGCACACACATCACAGCTGAAGGCCGAGAGAAACAGTCTAAAAGGCAGGGCGTTGTCATGTGGGAATTCACACTCATTGTACCATGATATGACTCGATAACTTGAATTTCAACTTTTTTTTTTTATTAATGACAACAGGCAACAATAACAGAAAATGTCAATTAAGTAATACTTAGATGATGCCCTTTCCCTCCCACAGCCCCCACCCAAACCTCCAACATCTGGTGATCTGACGCAGCTGAGGACCGCTTGCGTTTCAACTTTTGTGACTCTATCAAAAGCCAACTCCTGTTTAATTGTGTATAAGCCCAAAGTTGTCCCAGGAGAGCAAGCCCTCAGAGCCGTGCCCAGAATGGAAGCAGCGATGCAGCTGTTTCTGAAGACAACCCTGTTCCCAGCATTCCCGGGTAATTCCTGTGCAGGATCCCTGCCTCCCAAACCCTCGCTTCTGTCTTTTGGCTATATCCCCATTACCATTGCCAACTGCCAACACAGGGCTCTTGGCCTCCTCCTCTACCCTCAGCTCAAGGGTAGACCCAGGGTGGACCCATGGTGAACCAACAGTATGTGCATATACTGACCTGCTAGAATGCCTTTCTTTTTAATATTTATTTTCAGGCTATAGTGACAGACCAGGTATAAGGAGATAGAAGTTATAATCCTAGATTCTCAGAATCTGAGCACCAGAAGGGCTTAAGACCATCTGGTCCCACCCCATAACTAGACATACATAAGACTGAAGGCCTGGAAGAGTGGTCTGCTCCAAGGACTGTTGGTCCAGTACAAGGCACATGGGTGCTCATGGGTTTGGCTCTCGGTTTTGCAATTTTTAACTGTATGGACCTTGAGCAAGTTCTTTATCTTCTTCAAGTTTCAATTTCCTTATCTGGAAAATTCCTAATGAGTAGCAATAATGACAGCTAACATTTATTAAGTGTTTATTATGTGTCAGACACCATGCTAAGTATTATGTCAGCATTTCTCACTTAATACTCAACCCAAACCCAAGAGGTAGGGACTACCACAAAGCCTATCATAAAAATCTGAGATTTAGAAAGAACCCAACCCAAATCACACACCTAGAAATGGGCTAAGCTGACACTGAAGACCAGATTGTCCTAATGTGCCCCTAGCTCTGAACAGGGTCCTACACCATGTCAGACTTAGCAAACATCAGGTCCCATTCCCAAATGGGAATGGGCTCTTTCCAGTGACTGGTCACGTACCCTTAGGTAAATCACTTAAACACCCGAGAATCTGTTTTCTTAGTAATAAGATGTAAACCACAATTCTCCTATCATATTGCTTTCACAGAGTCATGTGAGTATAAAATGAGATGTCTGAGAGAACTGTCTGAACTGTGTAGAGCTCTACTAGCTTAAGAGATTATTACTAGTATCATTTGGAGGTAGCAGGTGGAGTAGAAAGAAGAAAGATGCTGAGACATTTTTGTCTCAGTTTTCTCATCATAAAATGGGGATAATCCTATCTGACCCAGGGTGTCACTATGAGATGAGATGAAATGATAGACATAAAAATTGGAAAGCAATAGCCAAATATCTAAGAAAGCTCTTTGAAAGTTTCAGTGCTTTCCAAAAGTAACATGGTCAAATTTTTGAACATTATTCATACCTTCTTCTTTTTCAAAAGTGATAAGAGCTTGTCCTTTCTGTAGCTCATAAGGAACTTGCGAGCTCACTTGAAATGAACAGGAGATATTTAAAAACTGGCTGTCATTCTCAGGATTCTCTAAAGATGTGAATTTCACCTTTGTTTCAGGAATATCCTCTTTAATCTAATTTAAACAGAAATGTTTGATTAAAATCAAGACAAGAAATAACTTAAGCCCTTCTTGTGATAATGTGATTTGATCATCCAGTAATTCATTCTCCACTGATTTCAGAATCCCTCCGAATACCGACTATGGTCTTATTTAATATCTTTAGTAATTACTTCTTCCTAGGTAAGTACTCAGTAATCTAATCAGATGCTGATCCTTTAATATTATTTCCCAGATGAAACTGTAAATATATAATCTCTCACTTTTTCTAATCAATGTTTAAACAAGCCAATATTGTATGGTGTTCGATTCTAAAGCCTACATCACTCCTACAGATATGTACCTTTTAAACAATTGTACCCAAAATAGGCTATCTTACAAGGGAATCATTAGACAGTACATTTACGCTCACTACAAAGCAGTATAAATTAGAGTTGAGTATATACCATGTTTATTCTGATAGCAAGCCCAGATAATTTTATCCAAAAAGAAAAACTCCTGAATCATATCATTTAACAATCATCAAATTTAAATTCCCCCTTCCCAACACCTGCCCATCAACTTTTTAACCATCATCAAACTTAGGTTTATAAAAATGTAAGGGACACTATCAACAAAATTCATAATCTGAAGGATAAAGTTACTGGTTATACTTATCTGTTTAAAATCATTGGGATTAACAAGCATATACAACTGTACATAAATACACAGATGAATCTGTTGTTTGCATTTCTATTTCCCATAATCATTTTATATGCTGAAAGAAAATGTTTGTGTTATCACAAAGGGGTTAGAAATATTCAATGAGTTATCGGACCTAATCTCACATTTGTTCTATTATCTTCACACATAACCTCCGTAGAATTTCTGATTACCATAAGTCCAATTTCAAAACAATTGGCAGTGTCTGAGAAAAGGCAGAGTGTTTCCCAATAATGTGGAAATACCCAACATAATGCTGAAAAGTCGAGAGCTTTTGGATGAGAGTGCCTGATTCTGGTCTTGGGCACACTTGGCCAGGAGCAGCTCACCTATGCTCTCTAGACCACAGTTTCAGTCCTCTGTAAATTGGGTCAGCTGAGCTGGCTGGGTTCCCAAGGCCTTTTGAGTTGTAGGACTAAGTGATTCCTCTCCAGTCTGAGAAGTAACCAGAACTGTAACAGAGTGTTCGCTAAGTCCCATCAACGTGGGGAACTCCACTTCCTGATATTCAATATCCTACCCCCCATTTCGGAAACAAAAAGTGACAATGTTTTAAGCACTTAAATTGTTTAAAGACAGAGTTTTTTTAACAGTATGAGTTGTTATGAAGAATAAAGGGGTGAAAGTTATATCTAACTCAAATACAGGAGAATTTAGGAGAGAACTTAAATGGTGTAGATATATATCCAATTGTTTTAAACTATGAAATTCATTTAAATTACTTGGATGAGAAGAGAAATAAAGGAACTTAGTGAGAAGACCAAGAATTTGATCCAAAAATGACTGATAATGACCATCATTTTTTTTTGTTTTTGCATTAACATACACACATAAAAAATAAAAATATAGGGGCGCCTGGGTGGCTCAGTCATTAAGCATCTGCCTTCGGCTCAGATCACGATCCCAGAGTCCTGGGATTGAGCCCCGCATCAGGCTCCCTGCTCTGCGGAAGCCTGCTTTTCCCTCTCTCACTCCTCTTGCTTGTGTTTCTTCTCTCACTTTGTCTCTCTCTGTCAAATAAATAAATAAAATCTTAAAAAATAAAAAAAAAATAAGTATACATAAATTTAAAAACTGTATTATCAGAAATGTACAGCCAGATGAAACTTTACAAAGTGATCACACACATGTGACCAGAACCCTGATCAATAAACAGAACATGACCAACACCCCAGATGCCTCCTTGAGCTCCCTTCCAGTTTCTACCTGCCTCCAAGGGTAACCAGGATGCTAACTTCTAACACCCTACTTTTGTGCTTTATTTAAATGCAAGCATATGGTGTGCCCTCTTTTATCTTTTTTGGCTCAACACTGTATCTATGAAATTCATCCATGTGGCTGCATATAGTTGTAGTCTGTTCATTCCCATTGCTGTGTAGTATTCCATTGTGTGAATACACCCCAAATTAATAATTCATTCTACTATGGAGGGAGAGTTGAGTTGTTGGGGCTATTACAAACAATGGTGCCATCAATGACCACAATGTTTTAAAAGTGAATTTTGTGTAACTAAATTGATTTTTCTGAAAAATGGTGTCATTTAAAAATGTGATACATAAAATAATTAAGGAGGTACCTGGGAATTTATGGTGGCTTCTTGTAACTCAGTTTCAAGCCTTTGGATCTCCTCCTTTAACTGAATATTTTCCTTTGCAATTTCATCAATTAATCTCTAAAAAAAATCAAACACCAAAAAATTCAACAGCCTCTGACCTCATTTTTCTAAACGAACTGAAGAAGCTAAATTTCTATCACCCTAATAAAGGCAAAGAAAGACATCATCACCTGTTGATTCTCCTACCTCTGATATATTTTATTATCTCCTTTATACAAGCAGGGGAACTACCTTTCACACTAAACCAGAATCACAGAAATTTTTGTAGTAGAGCAAGGATTGAGAGCCAGACCTCAATCTTATCAACTCCTTTCCTGGTTATTTGTGACAACAATATGACTTTTACGTTGCACTGTAGGGGAGCCTGGGTACACGGTCGCTGGAGCATCTGACTCTTGGTTTCAGCTCAGGTCATGGTCTCAAGGTCATGAGATTGAGCTCTGTGTTGGACTCTGCGCTCAGTGTGGAGTCAGCTTGGGACTCTCTTTCTCTCCCTCCCTCTGCCCCTACCACCCCCCCCCCCGCCCAGCTCATGCTTGCATGTGCTCTCTCTCTCTAAAATAAATAAATATATCTTTAAAAAATAAATAAATAAATTGCACCTAATTGTGGAATATGTTACTTGGGGGCAATCAAAAAATGTTTTTGCTGTGAGTCCCACAGTACAGCTGCCTTGACACGCCAGGCATATGGCCCTGGGTAAGTGGCTTAAGCTACTTGAGCCTCCATCCCCTCTTGGGTCTGATCAGATAATTGCTAACTAAGCTCTTAATTTCTGGGTGTAAATCAAAGAAGGACAGAGGGAAGGAAAAAACAGCTAATGTTGAAGCCTTGTAAAAGAAAGAATAGAAATATGATTATTTTTGTAAGGCTTGAATAATGGAGGAAAAAATTTTTGAAAACCTTAAAATCTTCCCAAATTCAAAGTAATGTTGGGCAAAAACATACAAAACATGCCTCACTGTAAAACTAATAGATATAAATTAATTTTTAATAGGACCCAGTAATTTTTACCTCTCTTTGTTCATCTTTCATAAATCCTTCATCTGACCAAGGCTCCTTAAGAACTTGTTTTTTGTTATCTTCATCAGCTGCCATGATTACCTAATTATTACAAAAAGTAAATATTTTTAAAACTAGTACATATACACAAATTCAAGAAAAAAGAAAAAATTTTACCCTTTTACAGAAAAAGAAATATCTCTTCTTTGCCGTATCTTTTTTCCTATCATCAAAGTCTTTATTATCATGTGGCTTATATTTGAACAGAGTCTATATTTCAAATAACTTTCACACCTATAAATATATAAAAGGGTTCTAAAGATCGTTTGCTTTTCAACACAATAATAGAAAATGATAGGTATTAACATTCCTTTGAGGTTCACATCTTAATCATATTATGGTGCCCCATTTTAAAAGATTACTATTTTGGTCTTTTCAAAGGTTTTAATTTAAACACCCAGTTCTCCCTATTGTATTTCCCAAATGTAAATGCAGTAAAAAGGCCCCCCCAAACTCCTCTACATGTACAGTAGTTCTTTTCAAATTTTTTTAAGTAGGCTCCACACCCAGCATGGAGCCCAGTGCGGGGCTCAAACCCACGAGCCTGAGATCAAGATCCAGGCCAAAATCAAGTCAGATGCTTAACCAACTGAGCCACCCAGGAGTCCCTACATGTACCCAGTTCTTTTCTGGAGTTTTCACAAATCCTCCCTAGTCCATACACCTGAATAAGAAAAAAGTTACATCTTTACTTATAATAATCTCTGATTGAAACTTAGCATTCTCTTCAAATATGAATATAGGCAACAAGCCACATAGCGTTTGCAAAAGTTCCCAATACAGCACAAATATTTTCATAAAATGTTTTAACTATTGCAGATATCCTGAAATACTTTTTGTCTAAAACCTTCCTTCAAAATTATGGTAGTTACTGGGGCGCCTGGGTGGCTCAGTCGTTAAGCATCTGCCTTTAGCTCAGGTCATGATCCCAGGGTCCTGGGATGGAGCCCCATGTTATCAGGCTCTCTGCTCAGCAGGAAACCTGCTTCTCCCTCTCCCACTTCCCCTGCTTGTGTTCCCTCTCTCGCTGTGTCTCTGTCAAATAAATAAATAAAATATTTTTAAAAAATTATGGTAGTTATTAAACTCACTACTAGGTCTTATACTGTAATATATTGATATATATTACTATATCAAAAATTTGTTTTAATATTCTGATAATCATATTTCAATATAATTGGTTTCCTTTGTAATTCTACATATTTTTTTTTAAAGATTGTTATTTATTTCACAGAGAGAGACAGCGAGAGAGGGAACACAAGTAGGGGGAGTGGGAGAGGGAGAAGCAGGCTTCCTGCCGAGCAGGGAGCCCGATGTGGGGCTCGATCCCAGGACCCTGAGATCATGACCTGAGCTGAAGGCAGACGCTTAATGACTGAGCCACCCAGGCGCCCCTGTAATTCCACATATTTTATTTTATACATTGAAAAACTTTTTTTTTTTAAAGGCCCATGAGCTTTATCAGACTGGGAAGGAATCCAGGGCACAAAAAAAGTAAAGAACATTTGCCTGCATATGAAGTTACTGAGATGGAGAGGTCCCAGATCAAAAATGAGACAAGGAATATCATAACTGCTTTTATTGCTTTAGAAGCACATTAATACCCAGTTTGTGATATAATCCTCTAAAATTTCAAGTAGGTAAATTCTCACTATTCCTGTAGAAGAAACAGGAAAAATATTTATTCCTCCTTAAAAAAAAAAAATAGAAGACTGGCAAAAAATTAGTGTGAACACAAGCAGTGTCCAAAAACAGAGGGGATCATATAGCATATGATCTTGGTTTCTAATCTCTCCTCCAATACAAGGAACCAGGATTCCCTGGAGCAATGGCTGATTCCACCCATGGGCCAGGAAATATACAAGATAAGCCTGGAGCTTCCAGTGGCCAAAGGTACATGAAGGGGATTTTCAAGTAAGTAAATATACAGAGGATAAAAGAAGCCAGGTTTTTCATTGCCAGGTAAGTTAATTATAAATATAGAAAGACAGAAAACTAGAATGAATGCTATGGGTTGGAACTGGAACTATCGGTATAAGCTCATGATTTCCAATAGAATGAGAGAAAGATACAGAGATATAAATATATATATGTGTGTGTGCTCACATATATACATACGTATATCTATCTGTATATATATTCCCTAGCTCTGCCTGCTCAGAGGGCCTAGGAGCAATGAGCACACCTAACACCCAGAATTTGGTTTCTAATACTGTTTTCCCTTACAAGGAACCAAGGCTTTTCAGAGAAATGGTTGGTTCCAGGACTGGGACAAGAAAAATACAAAATAAGCACCTTATAGTGCCAGAAAGCAAGAAAATGCTCAGTGAATGAGGGCATGTTAAAAAAAAAAAAAAAGAAAAGAAAAAAAACACAGAATCCAGCCTGAGGAGGTTCTCACTAGCCAAGTCTAAGAATAAATTAAGCATAAAAAAATAATGACACTAATGATTAAATCCACTGAGGAAAATAAAAAACTATGAGTCCATACTGACATACATACATATACACAAATTGAAATTTTGGTGAGAAAAGGACCACATAGTTAGTTTCAAAATACTTCCCCATAAAATACTTATTAATTTCAAAGCGGGAAAAGTAGCTTTACATTGAAGAAGCCAGGCAGACACCACCATAATAAAATAATCAAAGTAAATAATGAGATAAGTCAAAATCATCTGCCATCTGATAGAGTGCACTTAGAACACAGCTCGACTTCTATGATATTCCTAAAATACATAATCTGAATCTCAGCACGAGGAAACATTAGATAAACTGGCCTGTTCTCTTCAAAAGTGTTAAGTTCATGAAAGCCAAGGAAAGGCTGAGAAACTCTTCCAGACAGGAGACTAAAGGGACATCACAACTAAATGCAATGCATGACTCTGAATTGGGTCCTTTTGCTATATAGGATATCATTGGCATAACTGTCAAAATGTTGAATTGGATCCAAGGATTACATGGCAGTAATGTATCAATATAATTTCCTGATTTTGATTACTGAATTTTAGTTATGTAGAGAATACCTTTTTTCTAGGAAATATATATTCAAGAATTCCAGGGTAATGGGTCTTGAAGTTAGAATCTTATTCTCAAATAATTCAGGAAAAACAGTTTACTGTTTTTATTGTACTTGCAACTTTTCTGTAAGTTTGAGATGGTTTCAAAATACATCAGTAGCTCCCTATTGCACCACCTGCAGAGTCCTTACAACACCCAACAGTCATCCAAGGTCTTACACAATCTAACCAAAACTTACTTTCTAGTCTTATTTAGACAACTAGACTAAGTACCCTAACCACACTAAACACTCAAAGGGTCCCTCTTCTCCCTTCTGGTCCCTTAATACATCACATCCTTCCTCTGCTCCCAACCTTAATGAAATTCTACGGTTCTTCAAGGTCTACTCCAAGTTCCCCCAAGTTTTTAAAGCCTTTTCTGATTCCCCTACAGGACATTACTTCTCCCTCTTTTAGCTCTTTTGGAGAGCTTTAATTATTTGTGTACCCGTGTCATTTTCCATGACTAGATGGTCATGACGTTGAGGCTAAGAACCATGCCCACTCCTCCTTGCATCCATTCAGAGAATATAAGCACACACACTGAAAACAGTATTTACAGAATTGCGTGGTATCTTGACTAGTACTTGTTTTGTTCAGGACATCCCATGCATATGAAGTTTTGTTATTACATTTCCAGAAAGCAGAAATGGCAACATTTTTTATTTTTTTTAAATCAATATTCTTAAAAGCTTGTAATGAAGACTCTCAATATATTTAACTCATATAAATGGTCTACTACATAATATTCCCAGAACTTTTTTTTGGTATATTTAGGGTCTGGATACTTTCTTTCTTCGCATGAGTGGGATGTACAGTAATAGGTTACCTTTCATGCCATTATATGGTAGGCAAAATAATGACCCTCTCAAACATACCCACTCTTAATCCCCAGAATCTATGAATATGTCAGATTACAATCAAGGTTGTAGATTGAATTAAAGCTGACTTTAATATGAAAATCATCCTGAATTATCCATAGGGCCAATATTATCATGAGGGCCCTTAAAAGTAAAAGAGGAAAGCAGAAGAGCAGAGTCAGAGTGAGGTGTGACAACAGAATAAAGATCAGAGAGATGCAGTGTTGCTGCCTTTTTAGATGGAGGAAGGGCAGCACTAAGCAGAGGAAGGTGGGCAACATACAAAAGCTGGGGAAAAAAAAAACAACAGAAAATAGATTCACCCCAGTAGCCTCCAGAAAGGAAGGCAACCCTGTAGACAACTTGATTTTAGGCCAGTGGGATCCAGGTTGGACTTCTAACCTACAGACTGTTAAGATAATTTGTGGTTTGTTGTTGTTGTTGTTTTTAAGATTTTATTTATTTATCAGAGACAGAGCACAAGCAGGGGGAACGATAGGCAGAGGGAGAAGCAGGCTCCCCGCTGAGCAAGGAGCTGAGTATGGGACTTGCTCCCAGGACCCCAGTATCACAACCCCAGCCAAAGGCAGATGTCCAACCGACTGAGCCACCCAGGCTTCCCTAACTTTGTGGTTTCTAAACCACTAAGTCGGTGGTCATTGTTATCACCACCACCCACCTGTCACCTATTTTCCTATTATACTCATATCCCTTCGTGCCAGGTCTGACGGAATGAAATCTTTCCATGTGCATGCCTGGCAGCAAAATAAAGGAAACGAGGGGCTGGAAGAAAGGAGGGGGTGATTAATACAATGGTGATACACATATATAGTTAAAAAAAAAAAAAGTATACATGTTCTATAGACAGAAAAACATCGTGTTCTCCTTTAGATGTCTCTTTTGAGAAAATCCCTGCATATTCCGAAAAGTAAGGCACAGCTGCCAAACCTTGCACCTGCCAAGGAGAGTAAATCTCCTTAAGCAATCAAGTTTCCCTAAGAACTATCTTGGGAGACACTACGGAAACAGTGGGGAAACACAAACCATTCTACATTTCAATTTCCGAAATTAAGCAAACCACTCTAAGAAGACGAGGTCAAGGGCGGCGGCTGAGGGGTGGGGAAAGGAGCGCGGGAGGGATGGGGTAGGGGG